GTGTTGGGGTATGTGTGGGTATCAGAGAGAAACTCTAGCAAGCAGGTAGCAAAGGAATATAAATGGATGGATTGGGGAATTTTTCTGGAAATGGGGATAGTACCTGCTTCATAGTATTGTTGGGAGAATTAAATGAGAAAGTAAAGAACTTAATAGAATAAGAAAGTAAATGCAGGCATTATTGTTTTCTTGGTCTCAAAGAAGAAACACACTTTCACAATAACCTGGAGTGGAAAGGAGGCAAAAGGGTGGTGTGCTCAGCTTCTTACCCATCCAAGCTTAACTAGGCTAGCAGCGGAAGCCTGTATGCACTGTGTCTGTTTGCGTCTCCTCCAGGCCAAACCCCTGACTATTTGGAAATAATGAGATGAGGGACTGAATAGTCCATTCATATCTGGAATCCTTACCAAATGAAGAAATTGCTTAACAGCTGTTCATCATAGTGGGCTTCTTAGCATTTTCCAATTTGGCCAAAAGAGAGGTGATTTTATGGCCATCATAAGTTGCAGTTTGCCCACCGTGTGTTTATAGTAAATTACTATTTTTTCCTCCACTCTCCTTTTTTTCACAGTGCACATCTGAAATGAAGTGAAATTGTGCAAAACTAGAAATGTTCCTAGTGGTTAGGGAATAGCCTAATGGCATCTGATAATTTCCTATTGAGGCAGATGTTGGCATCCACACGTTAGATCCCCCACCTTATACTAAGAGAATTTTTATAGCTCTTTCCCATGGACTATCTTTTTGTTTGTTTGTTTTGAGAAAGATTCTCCAAATATACCTGTATGTGGGGTGGGTAAGGCAGAATCATCTAGATTTTATGGATGGAGAAACTCATCTATTTCCTGTGTCAGATTCCTTGGGTAAGGAAGCAAGGAATGACAAGTCTCTAAAGGGGTTTACCTAGCATCACAAGGTGGGAGAGGTGGGAAACCGGGACTGACCTCCTCAGTCTTCCAGCAGTGAGTCCTGTTGCAAAGAAGCAGCTCGATGAAGGGGGCAAGGGCTTTGGAAGGAGAGGTGGACTTGAGGGCAAGTGTCCCAAACTCCCTGGGTCTCAGTTCTCATGGATACAGTGTGGGGCTTCCTGGGGCAGTCATACTAACGTGAGAGTTGACATGAAGCTTAAAATGAGAAAATGGCTCTAGAAGTATCTGACACATCTTCTGCCCTCTCTACTGCATTGAGGGTGTCATGAGTCAACGTAATGACTGAGCATCATCATTATTATGCCTATGCCTTTTGAGAGGTTGCCCTGTACCAGACACTGTTCTAAGAGCTTCACATGAATCATCCCTTATAATCCTCACAACAACCTTCTGAAGTAATTATTATCCCCATTGGATTGATGAGAAAACTGAGGTATGGAGAGACTGAACTGTTTGCCCCAACTATGCATTTAAGAAAAGGCTGAGGCCAGATTTGGCCTCAGTGCCTCCTTATTTATGGAGTAATAGAGCTGAAAGGAACTTAAAAAACCACTGGGCCACAGGCTCAACCTCCAAGTCTTGTAATTTCAGATCTTCATCCCAAGAAATATTTTACTAATACAGTAGTCCAACTCATCTATGGGGGATACATTCCAAGACCCACAGTGGATGCCTGAAACCACAGATAGTACTAAACCCTATACATACTGTTTTCTTCCTGTACAGACATCCCTATGCTAAAGTTTAATTTATAAATTAAGCACAGTAAGAGATTAACAACAATAGCTAGTAATAAAATAGAACAATTGTAACAATAGACTGTAATAAGTTATGTGAAAGTGGTCTCACTCTTTCTCAAAAGATCTTACTGTACTGTACTAACCCTTCTTCTTGTGATGATGTGAGATGATAAAATGCCTACATGTGAGCAGAAGTGAGGTGAGTGATGCAGGCACTGTGACATAGTGTTAGGCTACTGCTGACCTTCTGATAGTACATCTGAAGGATCATCCTCTCCCTGACCATGGGTCACTGAAACTGCACAGAGTGAAACCATGGATAAAGGGGGACTACTGTAAATTAAAATACTGAAGTTTGTGAAACATTTGCATTTGGTTATAATTAGAGTGGATTCAAGATTATTCTTATAATTTTTATAATTATATTCTTATAATGATTCCCATTTGTTTTATGCTTTAAAATGCTTTCTTGATAGAAGAGGAAGGGCAGAGTATACCTAATGGGCTGGGCTTGGTGACCAGGTTGACTTGTGTGAATGAATTATGTTTGTTTGGTTGACCTGGTGGAAACAAGGTATGGCCATTGGCTTCCTAGATATAGGCCAACATCTGCAAAAAGCTGCAGAAAAGAAATGAGGGAGTTCACTAGGGCAGGCCCTATCTGTTGAGCCCTGGAGAGTTCAGCCTTTGACTTTGCTTTTTGTGAGCTAAGTCCAACTAAAGTACCACAAATTCCATGTCACTCATTACTTTGACAGAATTTAATTTAGCAAATCCTTCTTCAAGTATGGGTGAGAGATTCAGTCACAGAGCCCAGCTGATACAGGAGATTGAGGGTCCAGCTAGTAGTATTCTTTCTAGTGGGGCAATGCCACACCCTTATGGGAATATTAGCATCATGAGTGACTAAAGGTGCTATTTAGAAATAAAAGTGACAACTTTCAACTGACATTTCTCAATATGTGGGACATTCTGCATGGGATTATTTTCTACTTGGAAGAAGAAAGAGTGGGATGTCAAAGAAGGCAGAGGGGGGTGTCCAGTAGGCCTAAAGATAGGAGGGCACAATTGTCCTCATGATTTCACAATAATAGAACCCTTATAATGCATGCATTTCACTGACAATTTCTTTGAAAACTGGTGAAAAGCGAATCCACTGGCACATTCAAGATGATAATTAAGTACATAACAGTGAGGCAAAATTCTGAAAACAGGATTTTCAAATATATGTTGATCGGCCTAATGAAAAGTCAGTGATATTCCAAATTCCTTAGGCAAAGCCTGTACAAACCTATGGGGTTTGTCAGTACAGACCAAGCAAGGTGAAAAGTTGAATAACTACCCAGATAATTTGATTCCGGGAGTTTGCTTGGATCATTCAAACCAGTATTTCCCCTCTTCCTATCCTTCCCTGCCTCCCACCCCCATCCCTAGCTTTTCCCCAGCATATTTTTATATCTACAATGTCTCTATATAACTATATAAACCTTCCATTTCACTTTGACTGTGTAGACATAGGCCTCAGCTACATATGTACATACAAAATACAGTAGAATTTCCAAGGGAACTGGATGGGTGAAGTATACTGATCTGAAACTGTTTTCCTCTACTGTGCAGCTCCAGCCAGAGGCAAAGTAAAGTGTGTGAATTAACTTGGATACATTACATCTAAAATCCCGGCCCTTCTTTCCAGGGTCTGAATTATTTGGATGATTGTCCAGACCTGACTATGGATATCCAGGTACACAGGCATATTTCTGCGTATGTTTAGGCCATATAAATGATCTATATAGTGCCAAGTTCAAATATTTCCTTCTTTACTAATACTTATCCTTGAAATCTTAGAATACCTGCCTCCCCTTTACTTGGATTCTGGGATGAGTTAGATTATCTATGAGCAAGAGTGTCTGTTCAGAGCTATCCTTCCTCCAGAGTAAATATAGGGAGTCAGAATGGGGATTGGGATGGATTACAAAAGAAAGAAAAGAGCTCCTGCTCTCAAGGTGCTTACACTCTCATTTTACACTCAGCTGTTGTCCTATTACCAAACAGTAGGATGAAAAGAATATTCAAATGTTGAGATGGCAGTTGACTCAACAGCCCACATTTACTTGTAAATGAGTTTTTCAATTTTTAAATGGCATTCAGTAGATACAATCATATTGGCTATATAACACAAGTGCAGTGGTATTTGGAAAATTAACTCATCTACTTGATTCTCTTTTTTTTAAATTTTTTATTATTTATTTATTTATTTTAAAGAGAAAGCACACGAGAGCGGGGTGGGGGGCACAGAGGGAGAGGGAGAGAGAATCTTAAGCAGGCTCCACACCCAGCACGATGGAGCCCAACATGGGGCTCGATCTCATGACCCTGAGATCATGACCTGAGCCGAAACCGAGAGTCAGATGCTTAACTGACTGGGTCACCCAGGTGTCCCATACTTGATTCTCTTTAAAGAACTAATTTACAAGGTATGCATTTTATCCATGGCTATGTATAATGATTCAATAAACTCAATAGCTGTTAAATCTCTAAGGTAACTATTAAATCCGAGGTAGGATAAAAGATGATTGCAGAGCCTCTACCCTGACCATGTTCTCTACTGATCTGTTGCTGTTGACTTCGGCATCATGGAAAGAAAGAGAGGGAGAAACTGTTGAGAAAGAAGATGGAATGGGTTTGAACCCGCTGGGTTGTGGAATTAGATGTAGATGTAGAGGAGTTGTCCTCCCTCAAACCATTGGGGCCATTGTAAGAGTTAATAGATGTCATTATTTGAAGTTATCTCTTGGTTAGCACTAGTGGAGCTAAGCAATGATGCGAACATGAAGAAAAGAATTTTTATTTGAATTTGAAATGCATTGTGTGATTTTTTTTTTCCTACAGCAGATGTGTGGTCCTGATAATATTTTACTCAGGCTATTACTAAGTTACTTTATGTTACCCGAATCTATATCTATTGTAGTGGAGGTGAGTGGCTGAAGCATAAATTGAGAGACTGGGAAAGGATAGTCCCCTATTTAACTTTTGCCACAGGCAAGTCACCTGTGGATAATCAAGAGTTAATTGAATAATTCATAGGAAAAGTCAATGTTGAATTTGTAAGCACTTCTCCAAAGAATGTGAATGTTGGGGAGCCTACCACTGAAAACTAAATCAAAACACTTTTATTCACATTAGCAGGTATGTTTGGCCCTAAGTACCCAAGCATCAGGCTGACCTTTCCAATGGACTTGAGTGCTTCTGCCCCAGACATTAAAATGCTCTTGGGGCAGGGCAGTGGAGATTTTGTGGGAAGGAGGACCTAAGTTTTGCTGGTGGCCTTTTTCAAAGCATGTTTTGTGGGATTGACCATTTCCCCTGCAAACACTTGGCCTCTATTTTCTCTGGAAGTCTGGTTTGGACAAGAACAGATGACCCATGTCTCCTGACTTGCTGACAGTCCATACGAGGCGTGCCTATAAAATGGCACAGGCCACCGAATGTTCACCATGAGGGTGAATGGGTGATTTCCATGTGAACTCCTGATGAGAAATGCTCCAGAGTAGGTACTGATCAGCCTTCTTTAGTGTTCGAGGCACTTTTCTGAATTTCTTGGGATAAAAACCATTTCCAGCAAGTTGCTAGTCTCCTCTGGGTGTAAGGACAAGCCATATTTTTTCCGTAAACTTTCAACACACTCTCCTCGCAATGTCTGCACGTGGAATCGTCTCAGTAGTGTAACCAGGACGACTTTCATCATCACCATGGCGATGTACTTTCCTGCACAGCTGCGGGGCCCAAAACCGAAAGGCTGAAAATACCTGTAAGGAACCTATGAAAACGATCAGACAGTTAGCCAGAGTCATGCAGTCTCTGTTTAATTCACCCTGAAACCACTGATGGGTCAGAATGCTGTGACAGGGTCCAAACCATACTGTTCCCTCACTGAGATGAGTGACTGTAACTTCTTCATCCAATGTGATTCACCCCCTGTGATATATGCCCAGTTTGTACAGTCCCCACTTTCGCTTTTCACATAAATTTGCTGGGGTAAAGCAACACACATCATCTTATTACAGCCAGTGTTAGCATACTCAACTAGGTCTGTGGGATGGGCCACAGCTTTACTACTCTTCTGCATGTCACCAAGGCAAAGACTGTTTCTGTGCAAAGATGTTGACTCTTGGCCTATTAGCACCAAGCATCCAGATATTTTTAGTTCTGCAAAAAATTAATGGGGACCACATCTGTCTGTCTTGTTACCACCTGTGCTTACATAGTACCTGGCACATAGTAGATGTTCAATAAGTTTTTGTTGACCAGTTGTCAGTATAGCACGGGTTGCTCACATAGAAACGGAATGAATTAGAGAACTGGATTAATTAAGATCGTGTTTCTACATTAGATGCAAATGGAAAAAGAGGACAGTGAGGGAAATATCTGGAAAATTTTGGTTAATTAACATCATTGCCTAAAATTTGACATAATTGAAGCAGAATCTACAGTATATTTCAATGATAGAAAAAGCTAAAGCTCTTCTGATTACTGAATTCTATTTAGAATGGGAACTAGTGTTCATGGGGCCGTTTGGTGAACCAAAGGCAGACTGTGAAAACAATATTTTGGTCTCGTTTGATTTCCATCTGAAACACAACTGGATTTTCCTTTGCTTAGATGGTGCTAGAGCTGAGTCTATGTGATTACAAAGTGACAAGTTGAAATGGAAAAGTAGGTTGGTTGGGTTAAACAACATTTGCCTCATGGTAGCCAAATTAAGGGCCTGGACTTTTCACATTTTGACCCATTGTGTGGCCACTATGTGGATAATTCTCAGAGCTGGAGACCCAGCATCCATGGCTTGAGGATGAATATGGTAGTCATGTTCTGAGCCAGAGGAAACATGTTCTTCTGGGGAGGCCATAGAGGGGAAGAAGTAAATAGAATGAAATGTACATGGTGCAAACACGGAACCAGAGAGGGTTTAACAGTTGACATTTTTAAGAGTGGTGCGCTTGGTTTTAAGGAAGGGCTCTTACATTCTTTGCAAAGTTTTCAAGAGTAAATTCATTGGGCTTGGGGAAAAACTCTAGTCTATGCATTCTTCCAATATTTAGGATAATGTTAGTCCCCTTTTTCACTGGGTAGCCATCGATGACATCATCCTGTAAGGCTTTGCGCATGACCAAGTTCACAACAGGCTGGTACCGCATGCTCTCGTAGATAAAGTTTTCCACCACTTTTAATTTTTGCATATCATCAATTCTTACATCTCTTTCACCTGCAGGAACAGATAAACAGGACAAGGAGGTAATGATAGTTTCATTATGTGATGGGCATTAAAACTCCCATTATTTCCATAGAACAGTCTGCTCCTGGCTGGGAAAAAAAAAATTTTTTTTTTCTAGAATTCTAATGCAAACCAGTAACCAGGGCCAAATATGTCATTTGGTTCGCAGCGTGTTTTGTAAAAATTCAGATTTGAAGCCAATTACTATAAAACCTAGGAGATTTCATGGAAAAGCCTGGATTTCTAGAAAAGTCAGAAAACCTGGTGGTATTGGACCCACATCCCTACATGGCAATGACAGGCTGAACTTGAGTGGCCAATGAGCCCTTTAGAGGGACATCCCCCTGCAGTTATATGTATACCTACACAGTCTGCTTCAAACATTTATCTGCCTGGCCTCTGAGGTCTTTGAGTTTTGTCTCCTCCTCCAAATTCTAGGGGACATTCATCCCTTCTCTAGTCAAAGTGAAATGGTGAAGTAAATCCCTTTCAATGAAATTTTCTCCTCTGGTTGCCTGTGCAGTCATCTGCCTGGAACGCATCACTGATAGTCCCTCCTTCCATCTCATCAAGAACAACCTATTGCGGTAGAGTGGCAAGAACCTCTCTCCCTGCCACAGCAAAATAGGTGCCTCAGCTAAATTTTGGGTGTCCTGGAGATTGACAGATACTCCCACTGTTTCAGATTGGCCTGACACTGGTCACAGAGGCTTGGATTACTCCCAGAATTGGCAAAGTTTCAGAGCATCCTTGAATGGGTTACCGCTTTTGCAAAATCAAAATCAGCCCAGGGTCCTGAGGCAGCTCTGTCTCCTGTACAACTACACCATTCAGAAAGGATCTCATTTGGTCAGAGAACTCTAACAGCCCTGCCCCTTGCATACTGCTCTCTTACACTCAAGGTCTAATGGGGTACATTTATCTGGGGTGAGGGGGTAGAAGGGAAGACGATAGAGAAGGTAACCAGAGGCATTTCCTAGGAAGTAATTAATATGTGTGTGTATCTAGAGGGAGCACGAACACATGTACAAATTGTTCAGCTGTTTTCCATCTTTGCAGAGGTTTATTTTTTATTTTATTTTTTATTGTTATGTTAATCACCATACATTACATCATTAGTTTGTGATGTAGTGTTCCATGATTCATTGTTGGGGCACAAACACTTTTCATCTCTCAAGGAAATTGTATTAAAGGCTCATGGTTTCAAGAGCATTTTCCCGTTGTTGCCTGAACTGCATCACTCTATGACTCTTTACTCCACTGGGTTTGCTTGTTAAGTTCTCTTTCTCCTGCCAGCCTGTGAGAGGCTGTATCCCATAAGTATAGGAATAGCTCTGGCTTAGTCACTGATGTGCCCCTGCACCTGACCCAGAACCCATAACCTGACAGGGGGCACATGAGAAACCATTCTGGAATTTGGGGCTTGGATGTTATTCTGGCTTCCTGCTATCTATCTTCCCAGGCAATTTCCCATTTACAGCAACACATCTGTAGACCCTTTCTCTCATGTATTTAACTCTTCTGTGAAATTTCCCCTTACTATCAACTATTTTAAGTAGCACTCAGATGGCTTTATTTTTTTTTTAAGATTTTATTTATTTATTTGAGAGAAAGACACAGAGAGAGAGGGAACACAAGCAGGGGGAGTGGGAGAGGGAGAAGCACGCTTCCCGCGGAGCAGGGAGCCCAATGCGTAGCTCTATCCCAGGACCCTGGGATCATGACCTGAGCCGAAGGCAGATGCTTAACGACTGAGCCACCTGGGTGCCCCTCAGATGGCTTTAAAAAATGGTGCCACTCTACAACCAAATAAGTCATTTCACAGGGATTTTGTATAAGGTCAAGAGAGAAAAGTCGATGTCATTACTGATATCTCTTCACATGTCAGAAATGTGTTCCTAAAAAGACTGTCCATGTAGGGGCACCTGGGTGGCTCAGTCGGTTAAGCTTCTGACTCTTGATTTCCGCTCAGGTTGTGATCTCAGGGCTGTGAGATCAAGCCCTGCCTTAGGCTCCAGGTTGTCTCTCTCCCTCTCCCTCTGCCCCTTCCCAACAACCCCACCCACCCCATGTGCATGATACCTGCACGCACTCTCTCTTGCCCTCTCTCTCTCTCTTAAAAAAAAAAAAAAAAAATTATCCATGTGAAGGACATTTCAAATAAGGAATTCTGTTTTTTTCCCCCAGAATGCAATTGTGATTTCTTCCGAATGTGACAGTGTTTGTATGGAAGGAGGTGGCAGCGTCAGGAGCAGTGGGCAGAATGATGCTCAGGGAAAGGCAGAGCAGGGAAAACGTAGTGTCGGGAAGAGCTGAGCAGGGACCTGGTGGAGGAGGAGAGGGCAGGGGGAAGAAGGGTCCAGCATCACTGGATTTGGGGGAGAGGGAAACTGATCACTCTCCTGCCTTTGCCGTTTTCCTCCCCTTGTCCTTCTGCCACTGACTGGAAGTTCACTTGTGGACAGACAGCTTAAAACCCAGAAACACTGCTGGAGATGATAGTCAGTTCCCTGGGTGGACCCACAAAAGCATTTGGCCCTGGTAACGTGCACATTAAGAAAGACCTTGAAGAATACACGGCAAGGTATTAACAGTGGTTCCCCCTGGGGAATGCAAATGAGGCTGGTGAGGAGAGTGGAAGGGGTAGGGAATGTCACTTTCTGCTTTATACATCTCTGTGTTATTTAATTTTTTTTTAATGAGCATGCATTGTTTTTATAATAAAAAAAAAACGCAGTAAGAATGGAACTAACTTTGCAACCTATCTGGCATAACCAAGTGTGGCAAAGTGATTACCTTTATTGTTCTCTGGGTGGATTTTAATAAAGATTTTGTTTGAAATCAGATTCTTAGGACATAAAAAGCTGACATTCAGAAGGAATTGTTTTCTAAAGCTCTATTATTATTTGATCAGTTCTTACCAATAACAGTCTGGATCTCCTTCATTATTGCCTCTTCAACCTTAGGGTGCTTTGCAATGAGAAACAGCATAAAGAACACAGAGACAGACATGGTGTCTGGTGCTGCAATCAGCATTTCCAGTATGCACTGGTTCACATTCTCTCTTGTCAGGTCACCACGTTTCTGAACAATTGGAAGAAGGGAGAAAAATTGGAAAAGTGAATCAAAGCTTCCAAAAAGAAGGGAAAGGGACAGTCGGGATCAAAAACATCAATGAAATGAAGTCATAAATATTAAATCTCTGTAATTGACTATGGACATTTTTCATAGTAGTCTTCAGCTGAAAGCAGAGAAATTTAACCAATTATCTACGCATTTACTGTCTCTGGGCTCTCTCATTTTCATATTTTGTATTGTCCAGACACAGTAGTTTCAATCTTAAAGGTTAGTTTTACCAGAATCTAATGAGTGCGCTCTTTGGGTTGTCATTATAGAAGTACTAGAGCAGATACTTAAAAGCAGAAGTATGAAACAATTATAAGAGGGGATCTTTACATAACCTATACACAGTCAAGTACATATATTGTGTGGGAATTATGGTTAATCCAGGTCAGTACCTCAGCAAAAATCAACTCGGTGGCAAAATCCATATAGTCTTCCAGTTTCTCTGCTGTGGAAATTCTGTGTCTTTTTTCTTCTATCAGAATTTCCATGGCATCTTTCAAATCCTTGCTAAAAAAAAAAAAGTGAAAATATAATCTATCTGTAGTCAGTTAAGACATCTAGAAAAATGAATTCATTTGCCATTTGTTTAAATAAAATTATCTGCTTTAATTGAAGCCATTAGCACTCACGAATAACTGAATTTAAACTTAATTCTTCATAAAGATCCTTAAATTACATATTCATTATACTTCATGTTAAGGAACCAAATTTAGCTAAGATTTCTAGGTACTGGTAGCAAAATGAAGGCTGTAACCTCTAGTTAAAGGTTAAAAGCTGGTACCAAAATGGTAAATCCAGTCGTGTTTTCTGATTTTTGATGTGTCCAGTACAGTGTCTAAATTGAAAAACAAAACCAAAAACCAGTGGCAAGCACTCTCCAATTTGCCCCAGGCACCTTCACTTCCTGTTGACTCGTAACCACCCAACCCGTTTCTCTTTGCCCAGCTCTGGAAACAATTGAGTTTGAGATTTCCTACTCTAGAAAGTGAACACAAGGGATCAAGTATTATTCTTGATATTTATTCTTGTACCTTGCAGTTTCTGCCACATAGTAAACATGAAGTAGATATATACTGACTGACTAGCCGCATGAGTAGGTATAGTGTATGCATTTTGACAGTGTGGTAGAGGGAAGAGTACCTTGGAAAGAGAGAGTCAGGTTCTAGTTCGGATTGTTCTCTTTCTATGTAACCTACTTTATATCTCTGAAGGGCTCAGACTCCGTGAACAATAAGTTCATCTTAAGATCTAGATTCTGCTATTCTTGCCTTTGTCTTAAAGTGTATGCCTCCATGCGTAAGTGTATTGTCCCCCAATCTCAGGGAATGGTATTCTGCATTACATTTAATGTACAATAAATCTTTCTTTGAAATTTTTGTTGACATGGTCACCTGTACACCCTGTTGATGATGTTGACATAAATAGCCTCTATGTTTACTCCAGTGCAGCCGGAAAAGTAAGGGAAGATTCTTTAAGATTCCTCCCACTTTTTAAAGTTTCTTTTGGGCATCTCAAAGAAGGTGTTTATTTTTTTTTAAAGATTTTATTTTTTCATTTCTCAGGGTGGGGGGAGAGAGAACAAGCAGGGGGAGCGGCAGGCAGAGGGAGAAGCAGGGTCCCCACTGAGCAAGGAACCTGACGCAAGACTCGATCCCAGGACACTGGGATCATGACCTGAGCTGAAGGCAGACGTTTAATTGACTGAGCCACCCAGGCGTCCCTCAAGGAAGGTGTTTAAACATTTGAAGAGGTATTCTTCAGGCTAGTATAGTAATTGTGTCACTCAAAATGAGGGTGCCATCTATTGTGTATCTCTGTAAGTGTGCCTATAGATACATACATACCTCCAGGAATACACCAAGGAATATTCACATTCATTCATTCATCTACCAGTCCATTTATTCAGCAAATATTTGTTGAAACTCTTACATAGAAGGGACGGATATTCACTCAGTTGGTGGGCTGTGAATGCTCGTAGCATTCCTACCTGAGCAAGGGCCCCTAAATGGTCTAGGAGTTGTTGAAATGCCCTAAGACTATAAATTCATGGAGATTTCCTTGATGGAACTACAGCCACCTCCGAACATCTATTTCCTCCCTGAGCCAGAATTGGGGGCCTGTGAATGCCCATTGGGATCTTCCTTATTCAGGTTAACGTATGCATCTGAATTTATATGCCCTTAAAAACTGGGAGAATTGAGTTCAGTGACAATCTTCAGGGAATAGGAAATCTCTGACTTACAAACATGTATTATAAGAATATATCTGTGAGTCTGTGTTTTGGAACTCTGAGTGTATTTTTCACCCAAACAGGGGTGGCTAGGTTATCAGTCCAGGCCACAAATACCTATTTAAGGTATTCTGCAGCTAAAAAGCCTTAAACTTGCCAGAATAAAAAGTAGAAAACAATACTGCTGTAATATTGGGAATTAAGACAGGCAGAAGTATAAAATCGAATACATAGGGGTGGGAGTAGATGTCCCAGAATCCTTTCCATCAGTATATTTCTAAAAAGTATTGGCACGACAGAGAAAGACAACTAGTATATGATCTCATTTATATGTGGAATCTTAAAACAAAATAAACTCTAGCTCATAGATACAGAGAACAGATTGGTGGCTGCCAGAGGTGGGGGTGGGGGGTAAGGCTGGGCAAAATGGCTGAAGGGAGTCAAAAGGTACAAACTTCTAGTTATAAAATAAATAAATCATAGAGACGTGATGCACAACATGGTGACTATAGTTAACAATACTGTATTGCAGGTTTGAAAATTGCTAAGAGAATAGATCTTAAAAGTTTTCACCACAAGAAAAAAGTTTTGTAACTAGATATAATGGTGATCATTTCACAATATATACAAATACTGAGTCATGATGTTGTTTGTATACCTGAAAGTAATATAACGTTTTATGTCAATTATACCTCATTTAAAAAACAAAACAAAACAAAACATTGACATTATTGCAATGGGCATGGGATGGGAGAGGAGATTAAAAGATTTCTCGAAGTCTTTACTGCTCTAGGATATAGGAGATATAGATTAAGGTACTGACCATTGGCAAATATTATATACAGAGGGAGAGTTGCGGAGCTAATTTCTATAGAAACCTAAGAGAAACCATTATACAATTTCATGCAATAAGTTTCAGTGGGCTTGCTGGCCAAAACCAAAGCCATACTAATGACCAGGAACTATAAAATGAGACAGACCACTGCCAAATTTGAACATAGGGAGGAGATGAATCCTTTATCTCATTGATTCAAGTCACAATAAGCTCTGGTGGAAACTAAATGAAATGTATAAAGACCCAAGTGTCCAAATCACCCACCTAATACTCACCAACCACATGAGAATATATAAAGCAACATCAAGTTGGCTTCCTTCCTGAAGACTAACATTATTAAATTTCAAAATACACAAACAGGATAAAGTTGGGTCTTCAAACAAGTTGGGAACTTTTAGAGATGGGGAATTTAAGATCATCAGGGACATCCAGGAGAAGATATGAGCAGAGGGAAGGAGAAAACTAACATCTTTAGTGCCTTCTATGTGCCATCCTCTGTCTTAATTGCCCTATGTATAGGATCTCATTAATCTATATCTCTATTCTGGAAGGTAGGTTATATTTTACTTTAAATAACTTCCCAAAGCCATTTAGTTACTAAGCGGTAGAGACAGGATATAAACCAGGTCTGTCTGTCTCTAAATCCTATAGGCTTTTCACTAGTGGTTAGAGGGGGCAGTATTTAGTGGCTGGCTACTTAAACTCTAGAAACCTATTTTTTAGCCTATAGGCCATTGGGCATTTGTCCAATTTTTGTCTAGACTCGTCTGTAACCAAAGCAAAGTCATTAATGACAGTTTCAGGATTCCCCAAAGACTAATATCTATGACTAAAAAGAAGGAAATCACACATTTTATTGAAGTCCATTATATTCATTGTGAAAAAATTCTTTTGAGACTGCTGTTAATTCCTACAAGTTGAATTATATTAAATTCATTCAGAAGCAACATGACTATAAAATGATTTTGTGTTTCCATTTTCCAGATATGAAAAGAGAATTTTTACAGATAATAATGATAGGTTCAGCCAACCCTTCTCTTCAACTCAAACTACACTGCGGTGTCCTAATTCCAGACATGGGGCTCGCAGACCACCCACTTGGCCCCCTTGCTGAAAAGCTGCCTGGGCCCAACGCCTCCCTTACTCTTGGGTCTGGCCACCGCGTGCAGCCAAATTGCTGTACAGTGTTTCATCAGCAACGTAATCCACAGCTCCCCTGTGGGTTCTGAAGAGGAGAACGCTAGCCGAAGAGGCCAACAACAGCAAAGAAACAACCCAAAGTCAATCCAATCTCACTGATAAGTTTTCCCAACTTGTGTTACTTACACAGACTTTTCATACTTTTTGTATAGCCAAGAAATCTTAAAGAAGATGTCTGGTTTGAGAAGGAGAGCTTGCCATGCATCAAAATAACCCTGGATTTTAACCACGATGGCACTTTCTGGAAAAACAAAACAAACAAAAGAGCAGAGTAGTTGAGCAAAAATGTGAGCCCAAGAAGGGTATTCTGAGAAGAGAAGATCCCCTGTATAGAGTCTCTTACCAGCCTGGGCTTCAGTGGGTGTTTCAGCCATATGAACAACATTAATTTATTCTGCTTGACATCTAAATTAACCAAGTTAACCAGACATTTGCTACTTTTCAAGTTTGTGTTAGAGACAAAGCCTAGAATCTCACATGCCCCTCTTGGACTGAGTGTCCAACTCCTTCCTGTTTTTTTGGACGATGGGAAATAAGAGGGACACCAGGAATTATGGCTGTTATTGGCCTCAATTCTGGCACCTGCGAAGGCAAAAAGCCATGCCAAGCAACCACTTCTGGTTGCATTTTGGTCCAGAGTATAGAACTCATCTTAGTATCCCTAATGTCTTGTCCTGAGCCTCATCACTGTCAGCTCCTAATGAACGTCCTTAAATTGCATGTTTGGGGAAACAAAACCCCTGCTTTTTTCAAACTGTACAAAAAGGAAGGGAACAGACATTTCTTTTCAACTGCTAAGTACCAGTCACCATGCAAAACGCTTTACAGAAGAGACCTCATTTAATCCTTACAGTCTTGCTAGGGGAGTGATATAGTGTCATCACTTTTTCAGATGAAGAAACTGCGGTTCATAGAAACTGGGACCTTGCCTAACACCATACAGACAGTGTGGTAGGTAGGCCCTTAGGCTGGAGCCCAGCCCTATCTGACCTCAGAGCAATGTTCTTTCCTCTTGTTGCACTGGCTCCCTTAGGCAAATTGAGAGTTTAACCAGGACAGGGTGTGGAGAAGAGGAATCAAGGTAACTCTGCATGCGTTATGCAGGTTCTTAGCATCACGGCCGGCATCCCTAAATTAACAGAGAAATTTACAATTCTGTTTACTTCATCCTTCCTAAGAACTGAGGCCAGCCAGGGACCATGAAGCAGGGACTAGTAAAATACGGACTTGCCTGACCTTTAGAGAGCTGCATGTAGGACAGGCCAGCTGGGATTAGAGTTCCTGTCTGAAGGGGATGAGGCAAGGGGTGTGACTAAAAATACTCAGAGTTGAATGGGGCTCCCATTCAAATGGCAGTCAGATGAGGTTTCTGTGACTCTTGTAGGAAATAAGTAAAAAGACGGGGACATGAGGTAAGCAGGGCTAGAGGAGAAAAGGAGGGCTTATAGCTTGTCCGTTCTTCCAAATGTGGCCAATGAGGCAACAGGTGTTATAGCTCTGCTGCTTTGGGCCAGTGTTAAAATGAGGCCCTGTTCCCTCCCTCAAACCCTGATGTGGCTCCCGGTCTCATTTCATTTAGGCTGATGTCCAGGTGTCCTCCCTCTGCAGGCCTTTCCTGACAACCCTCTCTGGGATAGCCACCCACTCTCCCTCCTTCACTTCCTATCCCCTTGCCCTGCTTTGTTTATTCTTCGGGGCACTTAGTATTGCCTGATGTGTTATTAGATATTTACTTGTTTGCTGTTTATATTGCCACTGGGACGTGACCTCCTTGAAGGCAAGGACTTTACCTGTCTTGTTCACTGCTCGATCCCCCGAACCTAGAACAGTGCCTAGCATAAAATAGGCAATTAGCAAATATTTTTGAATGAATGCATGAGTCAGTGAACATGCTAGAATTCAGGGAAAATTGCATTAAGCTGGACAATAGCAGCATGGAATTAACCCAACTGATTGTTTATTTTTTAATGGTGATAGAGTTGCATGTATATGTTTTAATATTTGTTTCTGTATTATAGTGAAGGGAGTAGCTCTTTGAGTGGGACATTCTTGCCAGAGTTGTTATAATGCTAAATGACAAACTATATGTAAAGCAACTCTTTTATAGTAGATTCTAAATTAATGGTAGCTATTTTCATCATTGCCAACAGCACCAGCACCAGCACCATTATCATTGTATAGACAGAGTCCAAGTTTTCATGCTTAGTAGCTTTGAGGGAGGAGGGTACATGTATATTTATATACATATGTATGTATATCTGTGTGTGCGCGTGTGTGTGTGTGTGTGCCTATGCCCACAAGAATGGTTAGAATTGGTTAAATTTATCAGTTTGATTGGTAGTAGGGTATATTCATGGCCAAATGAACTGATCACATTTGTCAAGTTTTGACTGTGGATAGAATTATATTTCCCAGAGCAATGAGGAGAGATACAAAAGAGGAGATGGCCCCTACTTACAGAAACTTCTGTCTTATAAATGAACAAGGCAGACACACTAGGAAAAAAGAATCATAAGAATACTTAGAGATGTTTGAACAAGAGCAATGTACAAAAACAGCATTTTCTTTCCTTGAGTCTCTTATCCCCTTCATCCCCTTGTTCAATAAAGGGCAGAATGTCAATTCTCAAGTACCGTCCAAGGGGATCCCCAGGAAGAGAATGTTAGAGGTGTCCAGCATGATGCGCCGCATGAGGGTCAACACATCGATGTAACCCAATTCGTTGCTGACCTCCTCCAACCTGTCCAGATGTGTGATGATGGATCCAACACAAATTGTCACCATGCGCACAAGGCCGGGGCCAGACAAAGCTGAGGGTAACACATCAGAGAGTGAGTCACATGAACTCAGGGGCACACACAATCAGGTTATTTTGGCCTTTTCTGTTTGGAGTTTAACTATACATGATTTTTTATTCAGTAACTTGGCAGAAAATCATGTTCTTTTTTATACTTTTCTGCATTCTCCTAATTTTCTACAAACATGCACCACCTTTATGGGTAAAGTGAATGAATGAATGAATGAATGAATGAATGAATGAATGAATGAATAAAAATCTTATTTTAAACAAAATATTCAAAATTAAACTCTTCTTCATGTTATGGAAAAGCATTTGTGAGCCTGCAAATGAAACATTTAGTACTTGTGGTCATGAATCACACATCAGTGTTTTTCCATATTTACTGTATATATATATTTCTCTAAAGAAGGTTTGGATTTGGCCAGGGAGATATTTATGTTTCAACAGGTGGCAGGGTATTGCTATCGAACTACTCAAACTGGACCTTAACTATTTGATCTAAAGTGCTTCCTGTTTAATTACGGTTTATGTGGTTCAAAATGCTAGTCTTACAAATTATCAAAAGGGTTCTTAATTTTGGTTTCTCTTCACACTACTTCTAGATTTGTTTTACTCAACCAATGAGTAAAGGTCATGACAACTAAGCAATTTTTTTGTTTGCGTACTAGTCTTCCCAACTGGTTGGGAATTCTTGAAGGGCAGTGACAACCAACCTCCTATTAGCACTGTCCTTCAAGTCCACAGTACATGGTGGCCTTCAAATCATATTTGTCATGAGTAGAGACAGGTAGAGTGAATTGACTCTGCTCTAGATCATCTGGTTAGCTAGTGGTTCGTGGTGGTAGGTGATCTATCTAGAGAGTTTAACTCTTAAAGCCCTCCTTTCTCTCTTTGTTCTATTTTATTTAAGCTTTCTTTAAGAGTTATCTCTCCTATTTATGTCTTCTATTATTCAGACTTACTGTTAAAGTCAGTTCTTGAAATGCAATGAAAAATCCTGGGGAAATTTGTAGCCATAATTCTTTCTTAAAAAAAAAAAACAATTATCAGTTGCACAACAGAAGCCCATGAAGGCAGACTTTGCAAATAAGAAAGGAAGCCTGGTGAGCGGTTCTAGATTCTTAAGATTTCTCCTTATATGTAAAAAGGAAGGTTGTGTTGGTAGCATACTTTCTGACTGTAGGAAATACCTGGCCGATATGAAAGGCCAGGCTGTTGTTTCCTGGGTGACTATCACATTCACAGGTGGGACACATGATTCCTTAATGACTCAGCACTTTTTGCGGAAGGGTTGGCTTCGAATATCACCGGTGGTTTCCTCCCAGACTGATGTATGACTTGCCTCTACGTCCTAGAACTGGAAGCCATGTTTCAAACATATAAGCAAAATGTAGTATCATTGCTTATAGGCAGTGGCATGATGTGGATATAATTTTAATTTTTAAAATGTGTGAAAAAGTACCGAATCTTATCCAGGTTAAAAAAAGTGAGCAAGTAATCAGCATAATTCCTTCACTATGGACAACTGTCTTGGCAGTTTCAGAAACAGAGGCTATTTCTTGTCCCTCCACCTTCATCTCTCCAGGATGGGCCATTTGCCTAGGCTGCACTTCACTATTTCTCCATAGATACGCCCAGGCAATCAATGCCTTCATTAATGTTACTACTTTAGATACCAAAACATACCCTCAATTTTCTACTATATCAGGAAAACTAATGAGAAACATAACTCTAAAAGGAGATTCAAGAAATGCTTGGGGGGGCTCCTGGGTGGCTCAGTCAGTCAAGCGTCTTGCCTTCAGCTCACGTCATGATCTCAGGGTCCTGGGATTGAGCCCCGCATGGGGCTCCCTGCTCAGCGGGGAGTCTGCTTCTCCCTCTGCCTCCGCCTCTCACTCATGTTCTCTCTCTCTCAAATAAATAAATAAAATTTAAAAAAAGAGAAATGCTTGGGACTCATTGATTACTAAAAATGTCAGACACAACAGGGAACTTTTAATAAGCAATTAGACTTCTATTATTTTTTTTAGACATCTATTTTTGGCATTTAATCTGGGTAGTTTTGTAATGTTTTTATTAGAAAATCTGATCTATATATATAGGCCTTATCTTAAAAAAAGATTTTTTTAAATTGATTCCAAGTGCTGTAGATTCTACTCTTTTTAAAAAAAAAAAAGATTTATTTATTTTAGAGAGAGGGAGTTAGGGGTAGCAGAGAGGGACAGAGGGAGAGGGAAAGAGAATCTTAAGCAGACTCCATGCTGAGCGCTGAGCCTGACTCGGGGCTCGATATAATGACCTGATATCATGACCCTGAGATCACAACCTGAGCCGAAACCAAGAATCAGACACTTAACTGACTGCACCACCCAGGTGCCACAGATTCTACTCTTTTAACATCTCTTACACTGATGACTTCCCTTCCATCCACCCTGTATCACTGCAGTAGCTCCTAATTGTTCTCACTTCTTACAGTCGTGCCTTCTGTCAATGAATCATTCATTCTGCTACCAGAGGAATTTTTCTAAAACTCAAATATGTTCATGTCATTCTGCTTAAAATTTTGAATGATTTACTGTAGCTTTTGAGATAAACTCAGTTCAGTGCCTTCCCCTTGGCCTATGGGTACATGTATCCATGCCAGGCATGAGAGCCTACTTACAGTTAGTTCCCTGGACATACAGTGCTGATCTACCCTTCTCTGTCTTGGGAGTATCCTGTTCTTACCTTCTGTGGAATGCATCCTTGTCAAACTCTCTTAATGTAGGTAGCTTTTACCTTCTTTCCAAACTTATCGTAAGCATCCACTCCTCAGAAAGCTTCCCATGACCCCACAGGATACTTTAGATGGCCCATTTTTTCTGTGCCCTGTAGCACTCTGCACACACCTCTAGCATAACACATCACCTAGGATGATATTTGGTGGTGTATTGATCTGCCACCCTGCCCCTCCCCCTATTATAAATTCCTTGAGGGCAGGGACCATGTCTTGACTATCATTATATTTTAGGTACCTAGTTCAATGATAAGAACACAGTAGTTTGTTAAACAAATGGATGAGTTTAGAAAATTCTATTAATCTAAAAAGTTTAAAAATTCTATTAATTTTTACATGGCAAGGTAGAGGATGTTGGTATGTGAGAGTTAATTGCTCCTAAATACTAGTTCACATGTTCCTAATGTGCCTGGGCCAAACCGCAAAGGAAAAAAAACTTACATTTCAAATCTTGTCATTTGCAACAATATGGATGAACCTAGAGGGTATTATGCTAAGCGAAGTAAGTCAGACAGAAAAAGACAAATGCCACATGACTTCACTTATATGTGGAATCTAAAGAACGAAACAAATGAACAAACAAATGAAAAGAAATAGACTCAAATGCAAAGAACAAACTGGTGGTTGCTAGAAGGGAAAGGGTGTGGGGATGGGTGAAATAGGTAAAGGTGATTAAGACCTACAAACTTCCAGTTATAAAATAAATAAGTCATGGGGATATAATGTACAACATAGGAAATATAGTCAATAATATTGTCACATTTTTGTATTGTGACATGGTGACTACACTTATCATGGGGAGCATTTCATAACATGTATAATTGTTGAATCACTAAGTTGTACACCTAAAACTAATATAATACTGTATGTCAACTCTACTTCAACAAAAACAAACAAAAAACCACATTTCTGTAGGATCTTAAGCATTATTTCATTTATTCTTCATAATAACCCTAGAATTAATGTTCTATTGTCTTTATCACCTTTTGTGGAGAAGAAAACTGAAGCTCAGAGAGGAGTGACTTGTCCAAGGTCATATAGCTAGTGAAGAGGCAGAACTAGGACTTGAACCCAAAACCTATAATCCTGAGGCCTATACCCTTTTTGTTAACCCAGTCTGCAGTTTTCTAAGGCATGAGAGAGGATTGATCTGCCCCAACACGAGTGGTAGGCAGAATAATAGCCCTCTAAACCTGTCCAGGTCCTAGTCCCTGGAACCTATTAATATGTTACTTTACATGGAAAAAAGGACTTGACACATATGATTCAAGTTAAGGGCCTCGAGATGGGGAGATTACTGTGGATTATCTGGGTGGGCCCAACCTAATTACATGAGTCCTCAAAAACAAAGAACCTTTCCCAGCTGACGTCAGAGTCAGAAAGTGATGTGACGACAGAAGGATGGTCTGAGAGACACGATAGAAAAATGACTCGACCCACTGTTGCTAGCTTTGAAGGCAGAGGTAGGGGCTGTAGGCCTAGGGATGCAGGTGGCCTCTGAGGATGGAAAAGACAAAGAAACTGATTCTACTCTGGAGCCTCCAGAAAGAAACACAGCCCAGCCAACACCTTGGTGTTAGCCCATTGAGACCCATGTCAAATTTTTGACCTACAGAACGATAAAATAATCGATGTATTGTTTTAAGTCACTAAGTTTGTGGCAATTTGTTACAGCAGCAATAAGAGTCAAATACAGTGGAGTCTACAATAGAGTTGTATGAATCTTGGTAATGGGCAACTCTGTAGAGAGAATCAGTGCTCAGCTGGGACAGACATAGCTTCTCAGTAGCCACATGGGAGGCATCCAGGTTCACTACAGAGGCTGGCTTAGAGGGAAGAATATTGCACTGTCAGACCTAAGATCCATCTAGCCCCAGATTCTATCACTGACAGTGTTTCCAGGACATGATTATCTTCTTTGATGTTGATGTCAAAGACTGGTCATGTATATTCCCCAACTGCTTCATTTCCAACAAAATACAGTAAAGGGGGAAATCACTAGTCAAGGAGCCTTGGGATTGGATCTCTGCTCATCTATTATTTGTTATGTTGTCTGAGCAAAAATCACAACCTCTCTAGGACTGCATTTCCCCAACTATAAAATTCAGAGACTGGATGAGATGACATATATAGTCCTTCCTAGTTCTAAAATCTCTAATTTTATTTGCAAATTGCTTTCTGTTAAAACATCTGTGATGTTAGTCAGTGATTCAGCAAACACATTGTTTGGCTATGTTTAAATTAAACGTGTGACTGACACACTAAATTCTTAATTGAAATGATCCTAAGTACAGAGCTCTATCTCTTCTTCATGCCCATGGAATTGCTTTGTGCATCAACAGGAAGAACAGAGTTTGTGGTGATTAAAAATGTAGGCACTGGCGTTGTCTTCTGGGCCACAATTTACTAATTTGGGGACCTTGGGTAAGTTACTTAACCTATTTACTTAAGCTTCAGTTTTCTTATGTGTAAAATATAAGTGACAAGAATATTTACCACATGGGGTTGCTGTGGGATTAAAATATCAAGTACTTAGAACAGTGCCTACCATGTCTTATTATTTCAAAATAAATGAAGCAGCAGAATTTAAATTCCAGAAAAGGGGGGGGCACATTTATTGACAAAAGAGCAGAATGTCACCAGCACCTGATTACCTTTTGTAAAGAAAGGTCGAATGGCTTTCCAGAGGGTTGGATTATTATTAAATATGATGCCGTTTTCATGCATGCCAATGCACTGCAGTCCAAGTTTGCTGCCGAATCGGGAGCTGTAGTGACTGTGCTTCATTATGTGGAACATACTTGAGGACCTGCAGAGATAGCAAACTTTGGTGTTAATTTTTTAAGGGTCAGGAGAACTCATGGTGATGATTTTGACTACCAGGTGGCTTTCTTAGCAAATGCATGATGATCTAAATGCAAGGCATTTGAGGGGTGCCAGTCGGTTAAGCGTCCAACTCTTGGCTTTGGCTCAGGTCATGATCTTGAGGTCCTGAGATTAAGCCCCATAGTGGGCTCCATGCTCAGTGGGGAGTCTGCTGGAGATTCTCTCTCCCTCTCCCTCTGCCCCTCCCCCCAACTCACACTCTCTCTCCCTCTCTCTGAAAATAAATAAATCTTTTAAAAAAAATAAATGCAAGGTATTCTAGTATTTATATTGAGTAAGTGTTTGTTAGCATAAGAACATCCCTCTCCAGTTGAAATATTCCTACCTACTGACTCCCTGCTTGAGCATCACCAAAGATAGAACACACACACCATTCCTTATTTCCCTTTTTTTTTTTCTAACTCCATGTCACCAAAATACTACGCACTACTGGGGTCAGAGCTGCAAGGCTTTGAGGAGCTGAGCCCTCCACACCACCAGAGGGTCCCGAAAGCCTCCAGCCCCACTCCAGACAGTGCCACCCCCTGCTGGAGTGAGTCTCAGAATCCTGAGTTCCTGGAATTGCCGAAGTCTTCTTCTGTTTGGAACCAACAGTTCTGCCTCAGACCACCCATCCTCAGAATCTCTCATCAGGCCTGGCCCCTCCGGTGGGTATCATTCTGGGCTTGAAGGACATCTCCTGGGCACTGCTGGCTCTGGGCATAGCTGGCTGGGCTGGGCCTGGAAGGCTCTCTGTGGTGGTGACAGCAGCTATCTCGAGACTCTGCATTCCATCCTGACTCATCAGGGTCTCCTGGGTCACAGAGTTCTCTCAGGATATAGTAAGCATAAGCAGATTTACTTCTCTCCATATATATATTTTTAGCAACTTCAAAAAATTTCCACTCAAGTATATCCAAATGGATCGCCATTTTTCTTGGAGATAGGGAGAAAAAGGGAGCAGGGTTTGGGAATTAAAAAGAGGGGCAGATTGGTTAGCAGAGGAGGCGTAGAGGTTTTTGGCATGCAACCGTGGGAGGTGTGAAGGAAGGGGAGACAGGGTAAACTGTCAGGAGTCTGACTTTTGGCTATGTTAACAGTGCCAGAGCCAGGCTGTGTATAAATGTTGCCTACCTATGTATGCTCTGAGGGGATTGTAGGCAGACCTCAAGTGACATAACCCTTGACCCTGGGGCTTGAGAACGAAACTGCTCAGGTCTGCCAGGTAAGTTAAAATAGATCCCCCCCTGAAAAACAAACTGAGGGTTCTAGAGGGGAGGGGGGTGGGGGGATGGGTTAGCCTGGTGATGGGTATTAAAGAGGGCACGTTCTGCATGGAGCACTGGGTGTTATGCACAAACAATGAATCATGGAACACTACATCAAAAACTAATGATGTAATGTATGGTGATTAACATAACAATAAAAAATAAAAAAAATAGATCCCCCAAAGCTTTTTTTCACCTGAGGATTATAAATTACTCCATGTCTCTGAGATCAGAGTGGAGTTCAGAGGCAGAGATCATAAAATTAGAAAGGAACTAAATATTTGAGCAGAGGAATAGGAAGAAAATAGGCACATTATTGCAAGAACGCAAAGTATATTTATAAACATCTCTCTGATACTGCAAAGGAGGGAGAACCTGGGCATTTTTCTGGTGTGGGAGGGGTAGAGGGAAAAAAAAGTAACAGCATGGTGCCTTAAATGTGCAAATTCAAAATACATAAAATATCCGTGTTACATTTTAAATGCTGTTATTTTTTTTAAATTTTGGTGAACTTAATATTTACACAAGTTTTCACATGTTCATTGTGACTTTGGTTCTTCCTCTCCACTTCTCCACTGAAATTTTGTTGCTTGGCTGCAAATTCTCCTACTATGGGGTGTTTCTGAACACATAACCCTTAAAGATGGGGAGTGGCCATTATATAGAATGGCCACCCACATATATAGGTATATGCACCTGGTTCTTACATTGGGCTGGAGGAGCCATCTTACCACTTGCTCTTCTCTCTTAAAGTTGATACTTGGTTCCTAAAAGGATGACTTTGCCTTAATGAGGTTGTTCAGTTAATGCCTGTAAAAACACATTCCCAAAGAAGACACTGGGCCAAAGGAGCTGTGCTCTGGCTGAGTAGATTAGGCAGTGGGCTAAGTATTAGCCAAACCCTCACATTTATGATGGTTCCATAGTCCCATTTAAATTTTAAAAGAAAGACCCTGAAATAATGGCAGTGTCAAGAAATGAAAGCAGAATTATTATATGATTAAAATATGTACTAGATCATTTCTTTCAGGAAAAAATATCTTATTTTCAAATCAAAACACTCTCTATTAAGTCAGATATTCTCTTGACTTGATTCCAAATGATACTCATCAAATGATCGCTGAGTTTTGGACAAGTTTTTTTCTCTCCCTAGCAACAAAAATAAAAACAAAAATCCAGATGCTTCTGTTTGTATTCCAGGGAATTAATTTGACTGACAAACAGCTGAAATTTTGCCCTGTATAGAAAAATCAAGCTATGAGAGGACTGAAAAGCTTATTAATAGATTTCAGGACTTTAGCTTCTCTTACCTTCCCCTACTTTAGTCTGTAATGACAGCAGAAAGTAAGTAATTTGTACATTCTTTATTCACAAATTCATATCTAAAAATTTTAAGTGCTCGGAGGTAAAACAGAACACTAATTTTTTCTGTTCTGACCCCTAGAGCTTTTATATACTGCATTTAACCACATTAGCCTGTCCATTTAATTTGAAGAATTACTAATCAATTTTAAAAAGAGAACAAGAGACCCCAGACTTTAACCCAACCAAACGTGTATTAGTTAATAAAGAGCTAACTTCAAACATAAATGTGTTCTTTAGGGGGCGCCAACATCTCAGTGATTTTTGAGTCGGAGGCTCGGACTTGGCAAGGGACAAAGACGGAAGTGATACACCTTGCCGGAGAAGAGTGACCGGCTGCAGGTGAGCAATTTAAAACCAAGTCTTTGATCAAAAGGAGGCTGGCTTTATCTAACCAGAGTAAATCGAGAAAGTGAAAAAAGAAAGTTGGTGAAGAACTAGGGACTCCAGCCCAGAGCTCTCAGGGCATTCAGGAAAACAGTAGAGACCTTGCTCCAGCCTTGGGGGCCAGCCTGTAACACCAGTTAAGGGAGATGTTATACTGACTGGGAGAGTAAAGATTTCTTACCACTCAAGAGAGACCAAGGCAGTCCCAAGCCCGGAAAGGATAGTGGGTAGTGTAAATTGTATGGTAACTGGGGCCATTCTTTTTTTCTTTCTTTTCTCTTTCTTTCTTTCTTTCTTTCCTTCTTTCTTTCTTTCTTTCTTTCTTTCTTTCTCTTTCTTTCTTTTTCTTTCTTTCTTTTCTTTCTTTCTTCTTTCTTCTTTCTTTCTTCTTTCTTTTTCTTTCTTTCTTTCTTCTTTCTTTCTTCTTTCTTTCTTTTTCTTTCTTTCTTTCTTTCTTTCTTTCTTTCTTTCTTTCTTTCTTTCTTTCTTTCTTTCTTTCTTCTTTCTTTCTTCTTTCTTTTTCTTTCTTTCTTTCTTCTTTTCCTTCCTTCCTTCCTTCCTTCCTTCTTATTTGAATATAGTTGACACAGTGTTACATTAGTTTCAGGAATACAACATGGGCATTCAACCAGTTTATACATTATGCTGTGCTCACCACACGTATAGCTGCCATCTGTCACTATACAGTGCTATTACAGTACCATTCACTGTATTCCCTATCCTATACCTTTCATCCTTGTGACTTATTCACTTCATAACTGGAAGCCTGTATTCCCCATTACCCTTCATTATTCTTCTTTAAACGTGACTGAAGTCAAAAGACATTGCCAAAGATGGCAAACCTATTGTCTATTCAAAATGAAAAGTAGCCAGAGTAAGTTCTTAAGTAGTGAGGAGGAAGCCACTTTCAGTTCTGAATTTAAAGGACTCACACAGGGGCACCTGGCTGGCTCAGTTGGTGGAATATAGGACTCCTGATCTTGGGGTTGTGAGTTTGAGGTCCATGTTGGGTGTAGAGGTTACTTAAAAATAAAATCTTCAAAAGAATAAAAAATTTAAAAAATACAATCTTCAAAAGAGAAAAAAAGGACTCACACATCTGTGGCCGGGTTCAAGAGTGATAAGTACTAGAAATATGGAGGAGAAACTAATGGAATAATTGGTACCAAACATTTAAAAGCACTTGCCTGTGTAGACCTATTTTGTGCCTGAGACTTATGGTCCATCGATTCCATTGCCTTTCTCCTGTCCTTTGTCCCCCTAACAGCCTCACTTACCCAGCTTAAATACTGGAGTCACTGCAAGAGAAAAACAATCTTTATAACAGATCTGCCTGTAACTACCCTACCCAATGATCACATTTAACATCCCTAATGGAGGGACAACTTTTCCTTGTCTCTTGATGTGATGCAATATGAAGTGCCCAATACTACCAAGGAAGTATCATTACAAAAGTGTTTAACCTGAATGAAACTGAGCTTTAAGACATAATTTTCAGTTTATAAGAAGTACAGGGAATGGAGTAATATGTTAAGTAACACCATAATATAATGAGAGAAATTCGGAAATATGGAACATCCTATAAGACAATTGACCTGGTCTCTTCCAAAGATCAATGTCATATGGGGTAGGGAATGGGAGGACTGCTCTTTCAACTTTCCTGTTCATTTGAACATTTTCTTAACAGAAAGTTGGAAGAAAACATTTTATTGTTAATCATTAAAATCACTCTCTTCCCATGCATTCTCAACTCCCTTGACTCTCTACTTACTTTGTCATAGTTGCCTGGTAAAACCTCACCCCTGGCTAAATCCAACTTTTAGCTTACTCTGTGCTTGCCCCTGGCAGCTGAATGTGGCTGGAAAAAAAACCACACCTGCACATGTTCTCACACACACACACACACAGGTCCCAGTTAAATTCAAGGGGGTCCTTAGTACAGCTGGCCATTCTACAGTTCCCCAAGTCTGTTCACTCTCACTGTTCTAGATGACTATTATATCCTGCCTTCTCTCTCCTCAAATATTCTACTTCCTCAGTCTCAGCTAAGGACTTTATTTCCTATTTTACTGAGGAAAAAGAAGTAACTAGAATCTCTGTAAGCTCCAACTATTAGGATACGTGCTCATATATTCAAACTTCCCAAACTTACTGTGGATGAACTCCCATGTCCCTGTTTCAAGACCAACTCCACTTGTCACTTGGACCCCCTTTACATCTCACCTAGCATACCCCTTTCTCTTCCATCAACAGTTTTGCTCTGTAATCCATCATTGCCATCTCAACACACATTTTGTAATTTCTCCTATCTTAACAGAGACTCCTTGGACCATACATCCCTTTCTATTTCGTTGTTCCATTTCTCTGCTGCCTTTATGACAAACTTCTTGGAACAGTTGTCTACACCTGCTGCCTACAATTCTTTCCCCTCATTCTATACTATAATCAGACTTTTGCCCTCACCACTCCATTGAAACTGCTCTTTTCGAGGTCACCCATGACCTCCCTGTTGCTAAGTGCAACGCTCAAATCTCCCATTCACCAGGCACTCTCTGGCATGGTTGACAATTCCATCCTCCCTGATATGCACTCATCACCTGGCTTTAAGACCACCACACTCTTCTGGTTTTCCCTTCTTTGGCTATCCTTCTCAGCCTCCTTTTCTAGTTTCTGACTATGGTGGTGAAGGGGGGGTAGTCTAAAGACTCAGACCGTCCTTCACAACATCCCACTCAGCTGTCTACTGGGCATGTCAAGTCAAAATATCCAAATGGAATCTTGATTTCTCCCCATCCCAAACTTGCTCCACTTATCTGAGGTAATGATACCTTCATTTTTCTAGGTACTCAAGGCAAAAACTATGCTATCACCTTGATTCTTACACCCAACATCCAATCTCCTAGCATCTTACTGGCTTTGCCCTCAAAATATGCCTAGAATTTCACCTCTCATCACCTCTACCACGCTCATGTGGACCAGCCATCATCTATTGCCTAACTGTTCTCTGGGCATTCATCCTTGTTCCTTGTTCCTTGCACCTATTCTCAAAGGATGTAGGTAGAATGGGGGTAGAATGTGGCTAGAGAAGCCAGTAATGTGCTGAAACATGAATGAGTCAGATATGTCACTCTTCTCAAACTCTTCAAAGGATTCCCATCTCATGCAGGGTAAAATTCAGAGTTGTTACAATGGCCAACAAGGCTCAACATGATTGGGTATCCTAATACCTCTCTAATGTCATCTCCACTATTCTTCCTGTAGCCACACTGGTATCCTTGGTGTTCCTTGAACCTTTCAGACGGGCTCCCACCTCAGTGCCTTTGCACTTGCTCTTCCTTTTGTCCAGAATGCTTTTCCTCTACATCTCTGCCTGACTCACTCCCTCACTTCCTTTAGGTCTTTATTCAAATGCTATCTTCTCAGTGAGGGCTGCCTCGACTGCCTATTTATAGTTGTACTTCCATCCCTGCAACTGGCCCTCCCCACTTTAGTTTCCTATATAGCTCATATCTACCTGATGATAGTGTGAGCAACCATCTTGGTTTGCTTGGGAGTGTCCCAGTTTTAGCATTAAAAGTCCCACATCCTAGGAAACCCCTTAGTCCCAGGCATACCAAGATAGCTGTCACTCTACTCCTATACTATATGTTTTAGTCGTCTTTTCTTGGTATATTAACAATACAACAATATATTTCTCCATGAGGGTAGGGATATTTAGCTGATTGGTCATGATACCCAGTGTCCATAGGTAAGTCCTCAATAAATGTTTATTTAATGGATAAATGGGAGCCAGTAATGATTATATGTTAGGATCATCCAGTGCTTAGTATATATAGTAAATTCTCAACAAATGTATGTTGTAAGAATACATGAATGCATTCCCTATAAATGTACACATGATTAAAACAGATATACAAATATAATCCTAATTAGTATGTTAATTACTAACAGGTTTGCAAAAATAACCCTAATTAGCATGTTAATTGCTAACTTCCCTTAATGGATGCTACCCATATTCTTTTTTTTTTTCTTGTATTCATTACAAAAACTAATATATACACACAACATGCACAGCATCTGTAGACCCTCATTAATTTAGAGCTTACCTGCCTGGGGAACTGTGCCTACTTTATCTACTGATGATGAGATAAACTTTCCCCCAAAACTCCGAGCTGTTCAGGCAACATCCTGGCCGCACTGACTCCTCCCATGAAGTTCTGCGGCCCCCACCACTTCGGGACTATGCTGGTAGGAAAAGTTGGGCCATAATCTCTACTCAGCTGTAATGACTATAGATCTCAAACTTTTCAAAAGAAAAAAACCTGGCAAACTATTCAACTAAAAATAAAAAGCTTTCCGAGGTCCAATGGGGTATTTTCAAGAGGCACGGGTAGTTCTGGAAGGGACCTGAAGAGCAGGCAAGGGAAGGAGATGGGGACAAACATGTCCTATTCCCCGCAGGGAGCTCAGCCCTTAACAACAAAATTGAGAGGTTCGGAGGCAATTAAGGAGAACACAAAGACTCCAACCAGTGTAAAGCCTGTGAGGACAGGATGAGGAGAGAACTGGGAGAGCTGGGGGAAGGGTGGGTTGGGTTGTGGGCTCATCTCGAGCATGAATCATCACCTGAATTGGTCAGAGTCGCTAAGGTCACTTTCTTAATGAAGACAGCAGAGCCCTCAGATGCTACCTTGCACTGTCACAAGGATCCTACTTTAGGAATGGCTTTGGGCTTCCAGGATTGGATCTGGTGATCCAAGTATGTAGTATCTAAGAGCGATTTCTGTTCTGGTCCTCCGGTCCTTTGTCACATTCTTCACTCCAGTTCTTGTCTTATACTACCACCACTTGAGCTAGACTGAAGGGTGAGATGATCAGACAAAAGCACTCCAACCCTGCTTAGTTGCTCCCCTGACCCCAAGACAAGGCCCCCTGGTGCCAGAAGCTGCTTACCTGCTCTTTTGTCTCAGGCTCTGCAACACATTGGCATTACTTGGGGAGCTATACGAACACCTGATGCCCAGGTTCCACCCCAAGAGATTCTGAAAGCTGAGGTGTGGCCTGGGCATTGGGGTTTTTAAAAGCTCCCTGGGTGACTTTAATGTGCAGCCAGGGTGAGAACCACCGCTTTAGGTCCTGAGCTGTAGACAGATATCCTTTTAGAAAAATACACTGCGGGTCACTTCACCTGTCTGTGAGGAGGGCTGGAAGGCAACTCACTATGCCAGTGGATGAAAGAGCAGGGGCAAACGTCTCAAGCCCCCAAGCCCTCATGTCATCAGTCCCAGGACATTTTGAGACTGTAGACCATTGCCAAAGAGAGTAAAGTATTGATGTTTAAAATGAGTACTTATCAAATTCACCTAAATTTGGCTGACCAAAGTAGCTCAAGAGAAATAAAATCCAAGGGCAATTATTGGTCCCCCACTCCCTTCTGTCAGTTATTTGGTTCAAAGAATTGGCCTTTGAGATTACCATGGTATTTTTATGAAATGATGTATGTAATCTTGGCTTGAAAGAAATCAATGTAGTTTCCATAAATACTTCACTTACTTCTGGGCAATAGTCTGCATCTGGACAAAAAAATTCTAACATATCAGTAAAACCCTAGTTGGTCTTAGTTTGTGGGTAAAGCCCTGTCAGGGAATATAAAAACTCATTAATGAGACAGTGTTGGCATATAACATTGTTAAATCTCCAGTAAAGACAGCTGAAAGTCTAGTGAAATGTGTTCTCTTTGAAATTCTCCATTTTCTATGATCAATAAATAAGAAAACTAGTATTTCACAAAGCTAGTTCTCTACAGTCGATGCCTATTTGATTAACCCTGGATGAATTCAATCTGCTAAACTTATCCAGAAAATATAACAAATCATTTTTTTAAATAGGCAATGTATTTAAGATCACTCAGCTGAGACACTGGCCCACAGTCATAAGTAGAATAGGAGCATATGAATGGCATCTTTTTCTACCGTTTACCCTTCTAGAGGCACTCGGGAGCCTGCCATTAGAAGCACATTAGCAAATTGGTGCAGATTCCTTTCTCCCTGGTGTTTCGTTTTGTTTTAACTGCTTGCTTATAGAGGTAAGACCAAAGTCTTAGGAAAGCAGAAAAGATAATGCCTCTCCCTAAAATATGTTTTGTCAAACCCAAATCCTTTGGATTCTAAGTTTCCATTCACTGCTCAGAGAAATTTCAAATAGTTTCCCAGCTTTCCAGAGTTCTTTACCTATGTACCTCTGGGTTTAGGCAAAACCCAATTATTCCACTTGTCTATAGGGTTAGATTTTTACCTGGGAAGTAAAAACACAGCCTTAGCAACAAAAGCATCAAGATATCAAAATAAGTTTGTTACTTAATAGGAAAAAAACACAGCCTTGGTTTTAAAAATCTATCTCTGATTATTAACAGACTCACTTGCTAATAATGAGTGTTTCCTCTCCACATATCCAAACTCTCATGAATTCTCCGTACATCTTGTTGTAGTAGTTGCAGGCACTGCCAATGCCCATCCACAGGAACCTGCAGTGGGAAATGAGGGGCCCAATCCCCATACAATAGCCAGGACCTAGGAGAGTTATCAGACCACAGTCAGCATTTTAGCAAACACCAAAAAAGAGCAACTGTTTTATGTTATTGCTGCTTGTGTTCTTTGATATCTAAAAGGTCTTTGATATCTTCTGATGTATATCTGTGAATCTCTAAAAAAAAAACAAACAAGCTTAACATGAAAAAACAGTAGTTCAGTGTCCATACCACTAGTTCTATTTGGTCTCGAACCTTTCAGTCTGAATGAGCCAGGGTAGGTGTCTGCTATCTTCTTGCCACATTAGTGTCAGTGAGTTTTCAATATAAGTCAGTCAGTCCATCTACTTACAAAGCATGGAAACCAGGACATGTGACAAGCTGATCGATCTGTTTGGCTGCCTAGTTTTGTCTGAAAACTTTTGGTTTGAATGCCCCAGCTGATGGAATGGGCAGGTTAAAAATAGGTTGTAGTTTTGGTGTAATCTTTTTAATTGAGAGACATGGTCTGCGAGGATAATGTTCAAACAAAGAATATCCATTTTTTTCCTTCAAAAAGGACTCAGTTTAAGAGAAGAATCCTAAGCTTAATCTCATTAGGCAAAACATACAGCTAAGCATTGAGGAATTAGGCAATGAGTCCAGTCAGTGTCTGGACTAGAATTTGGGTCCAGCAATGTGGTTTTACTCAAGAGCAGTGACTGCTCATGTCCTTGCTTACATAAAAAAACGGAGGAATTTGCTGTTGCTTAGACCAGAGAACAAACTTGGTAGCTTGATTATACTGGTGGCCGTAAAAAGTTAGACAAAAACTTCTTGGAATGGTTTTAGGAGTTTTCCTGTGAAGTAGTAGCTTTTCTACATCAAATCTTTCTCGTTTCATTCCATTCCAGTAGTAAAATAGGAAGCCAACATGCACAACTGTTTGAGACAGTGTTCTCACTCCAGGGGCAAGCACTATGTAAGTAAATCTAGATAATCTAAGCTTTTGCTTAAATCATCTAAATTGGATGTTAAATCCCAAATTCGTCAAATAAGATTTACTCCTTTGAAATAGCTGGATTAATGGGAATAAAACTGTCAGGTTTTTTCTTTAAAGTGAAGGTCTTTTGGGATGCCTGGGTGGCTCAGGGGTTAAGCGTCTGCCTTCAGCTCAGGTCATGATCCCAGAGTCCTGGGATTGAGTTCAGCATCGGGCTTCTTGCTCCGCGGGGAGCCTGCTTCTTCCTCTGCCTGCCACTCCCCCTGCTTGTGCTCACTCTCTCTCTCTCTCTGACAAATAAATGAATAAAATATTTAAAGTGAAGGTCTTTGGTAATATCTATAGAACCAAAACATTTTCAGAGTGTTCTTCTTAATCTTCTGATTGTTCTGATAACACTGTATTGTAAGTAGATGACTGACTTTATACCTAATAATTTCATTAAGTTCTTTAAAAGATTAAAAAAGCAAATTTGAATATGTATTTCCTTAAAAGATCATCAGATATACAGATCTCTAATCAATTAAAATGTGCATAATAACAAACTACTTTGCTGGGTATTTACAGTTTGAAACATTGTAGATGCCTAATAAGTGTTTCCTGGTGAATTTTTTAAATTAATTAGATATGTGTGTGTAATATAAAGGATGAGGTTTTAAATATCATCCACATTTAGAGTATTTCAGGTTGTATTTATATTTTGATAAAATGGAAAAATACCATTGTATCATGTACATTTAGTCCACGGGAGGTCAGACATCCGGCTATTTGGGAATAGACTCATTAAACAAACGTTTACTTACTTAATATGCTAGGCCCATGAGGAACAAAGACATGCAAATGAAAGGCTGCACTCTTCATTTTTTATCTAATAGTTTGGTGCCATGTAGAAAGTCTTAATATTAAGGAACCACCATTCAAGTTTAAAATATGACAGTGCAGATCTCTATCCACTGAAAAAGGGAGATGGTGATGAACTTTGCTTAGGTTGAAAACCTGAGTGTTCTGACCAGAAGAGAATCCAAGTCTTGGGTCCCTAGTGATCAATCATGTGTCAGCTTAATTCATCCAACAAACACTTACTGAGACCCTACTAGGTTTAGACACTAGCTACGAGTCAGAGACTGGAGATGGAGTGATAAGCATAACTAGGTTCCCAATCAGAGTCCTGGGCAGGAGAGGAGAGTATGGGGGGGAGAAAGTACAATATTGAATTATTATAACACAATGTGATCCTTCCATTTACATGTATACCTTACACTTTCCAGCTGAGAAAAGAATGTCCTAGGAGGGGAGAAACTTTGGTAGGATATTCGAGAAATATTCTGGTTGCGTCCGCATTAAGCTGCTCTCTGCCTCTCAGATTTGGGAATGCTGATTTAGGCCTACAGCAATTGCAGGCACCTCTTTCACACCCTAAGAGGAGCGATAAATACTACACTGCATTTTTGTGCAGAAACAGCCTCCCAGAAGCCAACAGCTGGGACCTCTCACCCACTGTCCTAATCTAGAAGCTGTTGCATTCCATGCTAGGTGTACACCCTAGAGAAACCTGTGAACGGGAAGGCTCATAGCAGCACTGTTCACAATAGTCCCAAACTAGAGACACCCAAAGGTCCACCAACAGTAGCATCGGTAATTAAACCACGAGATGTTTGTGCTACTGCATACCATATGAGCTATAGCAGCATGTCACAACATGGATGAAGCTTATAAGTACAATATTGAGCAAAAGAAGCAATATAGAAGTAATGTAGGACTCGATGGCTAAAACATTTAAAACCAGGCAAAATTAATCTGTATTGCTCAGGGATATGAAATTAGGTGGCAAAACCATAAAAAGCAAGGGAGTGATTATCACAAATTAGAAGGATGTTTACCTCTGGAGGTGAGAGGGATATGATTGAAAAGGCACAAGAGAAGTTTCTGGGATCCTGCTAACATCCTGTTTCTTGTCCTGTACTGTGATGACATATTTACTTGTGTATTTTCCTGTGAAGTCGTTTTTTAGTGGGAGAAAGGGGAATGTGTTGCCATGTCCTTTTCCCAGTGACCCCCCTCTGGGGACATGGTGCCCAGGGCAGAGAGAGGCTCTGGGGGAGGGAATCCATGTGCAAGGTTGGGGATGGCTCAAGAGATTTAGCTCTGAGTCCCAGTTTCATCACTTACTAGCTATGCACCATCGACCCTCTTTAATCTCAGTTTCTTCATCTGCAAAATAGGCATAAACACACCTACCTCATCAGAGTGCTATGAGGATCACAAGAGAGAAAGAATGTGAAACTGCTTTGTAAATTGTAACTAACTTAAGGGCTTTTAAATCATTGCAACTTCTTAACTCCCCTTGACTTTCCCTGACCCTGAGCTTCCCCCAAACCTGTAAAACCAAGAATCCAGAGAACCAGTGATTCAAGGAAACTGACCGAAGGAGTTCAGGAAGAACCACCCCAACAAAGCCAATTTTCTCACCTTTCCTTCCCCAGCCGGGCACCATGGGATCTTAGTCTGTGCCACGAGAGGATTCTGACCAGAGCTCACATTTTCAAAGGGAAAGCATGGAACTAGAAGCTCCCTAGCTAGCAAAATGATCACCAACCTGGGATTTAGCAATTCCTGGTTGTTCCCCTCCCCCGCCTTTCCTTTCAAGGTGAGATGCCTACAAGCCATTTCCTTTCTCTGGGCTTTAACCCTCACCTGTAAAATGAAGGGTTTGAACTTCATGGTTTCTTATATTTGTCATAAGGGTTTGCTCGGGTAAGGCAGTTCACCTCTCTGGGGCTCAGTTTCCCCTTCCGTCAAGTGAAGGGGTTAGGCTCATATCTGTGGCTCTCAATCCTGACTGCTAATGAAAAATCACTTGGGAAGATTTTTTTATTTTATGTTTTTTTTAGTTGGGGGGAGCAGAGCAGAGGGAGAGGGAGAGAGAGAATCCTAAGCAGGCTCCAAACCTAGCACACTGGGAGGGCTCAATCTCACGACCCTGAGGTCATGAACTGAGCCAAAATCAAGAGTCAGATGCTGAACCAACTGAACCACCCAGGCACCCCAGATTTTTTTTCTTTTTTTTAATATCAACATGCGGGCCTTGCTCCAGACATAGCTGAGAACCATAGAACTATTAGTGTATAGCAGCATGATGTCCCCAGTGCAGGATTGGGGGACAGAGTGAGCTGTCACCTAGGCTCCTGATCGAAAGCTTCGGGGATGCCAGTTCTTGTGCTTGCCCCCCATAGGCTGACCTCCTTTTTCAAAGGTCCAAGGGACTTCTTCTAACACATAAACATCTGGGGAGACTTGTTATAAAATACTCTCCACCTCACCCACCATTCATGGATCCTGACCTGGGAGCCCACTGTGGGAGAAGAGATCCAGTGAGGAAGGAGCTGTAGTGGGAAGGAGCTCAAGTTAAAGGCCATGAAAGAGTCTTCCCTCAGATCCCTCAGGGAGCAGGGAACAACATTAACTGAGCTCTCTGTTAAAGTGGACATGAAAGCAACCTAAAATACTAGGCTGAATCAGATAGACAGGACAGACAGTTCTCTGGAAAATTTTGGAAGAATCCAGACACGGGGCACTTTGCACCAGCTTCACATTCCTACCCTAAATCACTCTATGATGAGGTCCACTGCACTTGGAAGTGCATAATGACTATGCTCTTGAAGTAAAGCCTTGTCAGATGGCTCATGGGACTGGGGATAGATGCTTGCCATGAAGAATTTTCACTGAAAACTAAAGAAATAGTTGGATATTTCTGATAATTCTGAATTAATCTGATAGTTGTGGAGTGATAGGGGTTTCTATTGGAATTATCTGGATAATTATATGATACTCTACTTTTGATTAATCCACAGACCTTGTTGAAGATTCTATCAGGGTATGATGTTCCAAGGGAACCATAGTGGTCTCCATTTTTCTTCCAGTGCCCAGGTCCCAGCCAGCTCTTATGGTGGCATCACCATCACACCTACCCCCAAGAATAAGAGAAAATGAAGAGTGGGATGAAGAGAGGAAATAAGTTCAAGAAAGGAAGAAGGCAGAACACATGGATGAAGCAAAGCAGGAGGGAGAAGGAGAGGAGTATAGAAGGCATTCCGGGTGTGCCTGGCTGGCTCAGTCAGTGGAGCACATGACTCTTGATCTCGGGGTTCTGAGCTTAAGCCCCACATTGGATGTAGAGATTACTTAAAAATAAAATATTTAAAAAAAGAAGGCATTCCAGAGACATTTTTGCCTTCAGAGCAACATTGGAATGAATTTGAATAATAATAAAAAAAATGCCTGGTTTACCTTGGCTTCACCCCATCTCAAACTTACTTTTTTTTTTCAAACTTACTTTGGAGGATACTTGTGCCAAGTCTACTTTACCAAAGCAAAGCACAGACTGGACGGGATTATCTAAGATATTTTTTTGAAATGCTTTCATTTGAAATATGCAGCTAATTGGTATAAAGTTTTTCACCTGAGTTTTTATTTGCTAACATTGCCATGGGCTTCAGCCATTTCACCATGTTTTTGCTCTTTGTCCTTTTGCAAAATTTTCTTTACCCTCATGGACCAAAAGCCCAAGTAAACAATCTCCTTAGTTACAGAACTAAATGACTGACTTACCGGGTATTGAGGATGTGTCTTCATAATTCCAAACCAAAAGAAGAAATCCAGTGAGCAGCAGGATCGGCATGGTGGCCACAGGCATGACTTCGGGCATCATGCTGGTGATGTTATAATGCATTGGGTTCAGCATTTCCAAAACCATCTTTTGTTCCTTGATCTCAAGAGAAAAAACTTAAAGTCCTATGGAAATCAGAGGAACAAAACAAAAATTAGAGAATCCCCCAAAGTGTACATCCAGGACTCCCGTTGCTTCAGAGGATGCTGTAGTGCAGAAATCAGCGTTTGTTTTATAATGTGATTGGACACCTAGACAAGACAAACTTGTGGTTACAAGTCAAAACAAGCAAGCCAAAGAGAGATCTTTTGGCTTGAAGTGCAGCATTTCTGACCTTGGTAGAGTCTCAGGTTCGTTTAGACACTTGGTTTGATAGAACCTTATCATCTTGCCCTTGAGTGGGTAGAGTGGCTGAATTCCCAATTGAGAATCAAATTTCTTACCAAAATACAAGAAAATGAAGCTCATTCCAGAGGTGGAGCCATTCTGTGACTTCATCAGCAGATATTGCTTAGGCAATCTTTTTCTCTTGATGCCAAATCAGTTTTTTAAAAAGTAATCCCTAACCCTCTTCCTTGCTCAAAATGACTTCCCCCAAAGAGTAGGTTTCTCTAGGAAGGATAGTTGCTTGGGTATTGTCGCGGTATCCTCAGAGACTTCTATTGGGTTGTTTGTTGAATTCCGCGTGACTCACTCAGGACGATCTTTCTCTATTGGCTTTAATAAGGCTTAAAATCTTTTGCACCACAGGCTGGATGAAGCAGTGCCCATGGGGGCCAATGTCAGAAGTAGTAGGAGAGAAGAATGAGAGAGGGAGATTCCAGGGAGAGGAGAAAGAGAAGGAATGGGGGAGGAGGAAGAAAAGAAAGGACAGAAAGAGTAGAATGCCACCAGCAATAGGCTCAGGTACCACTCATGTTTTGCCACAGCAACTAACCTCCTGTGCAAGACAATTTTCAGTTTGATTTGCTGGTTCTGTCATGTTTCTCAACAATGTAATGTTGAGTCTGTCTTTTCAGTAAGGTTTTCTAAGACAAATACTCACAGAGGAGAGTTTCAGGGATGGTAGTTTGTTGAAGAGACCTAGACTGAATAAACGTGCATAGCAAGGCAAGAGCGACCATTCAATGTGGTTCTGGTGCCAGATGACTGCTCTGAGGATTACCCTCCCTTGGAAAGTGACCTGAGTTCGCAGGACTTGTAATGGCTCTGAAACAGATTTTGGCAGAATTTTATCTAGGAATAGTTCTAGATTCTTAACCAGGGCTTCTAATGGGATTTTGGATGCTCTGTGAACTCCCTGAAATGCTGCATAAAGTATTGTATCTGCTCACCTGAACTTTTAGAGGGAAAGAACTCTTATCAGATTCTTAAAGAGTATGTAATTACATTTCTCCCCTGATCTATATGAGATCTTATTTTATTTTATTTTATTTATTTTTTAATTTATTTGACACAGAGAGAGGGAGCATAAGCAGGGGGAGTAGCAGGCAGAGGGAGAGGGAGAAGCAGGCTTCCCGCGGAGCAGGGAGCCGGATGTGGGGCTCAATCCCAGGACTTTGGGATCATGACCTGAGCCGAAGGCAGAGGCTTAAACCACTGAACCACCATTACATCATTCTGAATAAACTCCCTGGAACTTTATGACAGCCAGGATCCTCAAGGTTTCTGTTGATATCGGCGAAACCTGAAGCCAATCTAAAGGTGTAAGTGAAGAAGGTCTTTGAGACAAAAAGGAGGAAGATGCACCAGAGGAAGTGATCCTGGCAGAAAACTCCACATTAAAGAAACTCTCAGAAAAAAAATTTAGAAAAAAATAAAATAAAAAAACTCTCAGAAATATTTCGCAGCATTGAAGTCACCAAGGATAACATGTTGGAAGCTGACACAAATTTATAAAGGAGTATGACGATTCACCAAGGCAAAGAAAAGATGCTCCATCCATATCATAAGTTATACAAGGAGGAGATGGCAGCAAGAGATATTCAAATACTCTCATTTTTTTTTACAAACAAAACACTTTTAAGAATTGCAGTGTTTCTAATGTTTACAGTGTATTATGAAATAGGTCTTACTATTTTTTTCATTTCCATATACACTTAAAACCTGTAGTATGAGAGTTTTTAATGTTTCAACAAAAATTTTAAAGGTCATGGAACACTTGTATTTTTTCTCTCGATTTTTTTTAAGATTTTATTTTATTTGAGAGAGAGCAAGAGAGCACAAGCAGGGGGAGGGGCGGAAGGAGAGAGAGAGAGAAGCAGACTCCCCTCTGAGCAGGGAGCCCGATGTGGGGGCTCAATCCCAGGACCCTGGGATCAGGACCTGAGCCGAAGGCAGACTCTTAGCCAACTGAGCCACCCAGGAGCCCTTTTCTCTCGATTTTTACACAGTTTCAATTCTTATGGTCATTGTTATGGTCTTGCCCTACTGTGTAAAGCAAAGACTGCCTGTATATCTAAATGTTTAATAGGGCTTAGAAGCCTGGTTCCTCATCTTTCTCAAAAGTATGTCCTAAAGATGTCCCAAAGAGTGTGAGAATTTTTTTTTAATGCTTACAGAGCATTTACTATGTGTCAGACATTGTTCCAATTGCTTTACAAATACTAAGTCATTCATCTTCACAACCACCCTGAGCTAAGTAAGAGGATCCCCATTTTACAGATGAGGAAATGGAAGTGTGATAAGTAGGGCACCCAGCTTGTTTGTTGCAGAGCTGGGATTAGAGTCCATGTAGTCTGCCTCTGGAACCCATGCTCTTTTGGTTTTCAAATTTTTATTTAAATTCCAGTTAGATTAACATACAATGTAACATTAGTTGTAGGTGTAGAATCTAGTGATTCATCACTTACAACACCCAGTACAGAGCTGATGCTCTCAGTCATGTCATTTTGATGCCTATTGTGAGATTTATTTGGTCTCTACATTCAGGGACTTTTCAATCCTAAGCTATTTATGTTCATTCCTAAGCTATTCAGAATGACTTCCTTCAAAGGAGTTAAGCTTTTCAGACCTCTGAATATCACAGCTGAAAAGGTCCTTTCAAATTCTTTCCTCCTTGCACATTGGGTTTTCCTGTTCAGTAGAACATTCTAATGGGCCGCACAGACAGGTTGGTTGAACAGAGGTCTTTGATTGGTGGTATAGGAATGAGGAAGGTCCTAGAACTTCACAGGGGATGCTTATATGTCCTCTGTGCCAGGAATACCTCCCACACACCCCCAAACACACATACACATACGCATAGCCCTCAAGTGCTGTGTTCCTTCAAATGCCATCTCAAATGCTTGGGGCTCCAGGCATTTGTTTGCCGAGCACTCTCTACTCTTCACTCACGGGGCATCCCACATGGGTCCTGGTACCAACAGGAACCAGATCTGTGTTTCTGTGCTGTGTGGAACCATGGGAATCCTAACACCTTCACTTACTACCCCACGACCTCAGGATGAGGAAATGCCAGTCCTACACCCAGAGTCCCCAGTGCAGGGCAAAGGCTGCTGGGGACACTGCAGAGCCTGGGTGACCTGGTGCTCTGGGTTCAGGATACACTCCGGGCCCAGCAGTGCCAGGAAGGTCTCCCAGATGTCCTGGTACAGCCTTGACCCTCTGCAGGTTGGTGAAGCAGGCCTCAGCCTTGCAGGAGTGCCACCTGGCCTGGCCAGATCCTACCAAATCCTACCTTGCAGTATGGGGGAGACCTGTCCAGAGGACCCAGCCACCCTGGGTCTGAGGGCCAGGTGCCAACTCTGCCCTTCCTTTCCTTCTCTTCACTACACCTGGTCTGTCCCTCCTTCACGTCCCCACTCACAGAGAAACATGACCCAGCTACCTTGGTTCTCCCTGTAAGTCCCTTACAGAATAAAATGAGGCATTCATTCTTAAAAGTTCTCTCTCTCCTTTTGTTACCTCTCCTTCTAGAAGGTGAGTTCTCCAAGGCCAAAGATCTGTGTCTTTCTCCGACTATATCCCACTCCCAGAACAGGGTCCTGGACTTTACTTTGTATAGGCTCGCTACAAGCCTGTTGCCTGGGTTTGCAGTTTCCGCATTCATTCAGATTTTACTCCCTGTAGCAACCTCCCCGAGACCCTTCTCAGACCTTCCCTTTCAATCCGTCCTGCTCACTGTTGCCGGGCTGTTTTTCAATTCAGTTTTCATGACATCAGTTCCTTGCTAAGCCTTTCCTTGCTTCTAGTTGATTGCAAGCGTTCCAAATTCATCTTCATTCACACTTATTTCTTGGCTCTCTGCACCAACATTCTGACTCCTCACTGACCCACAGACATTCTATCTGGGAGCTCTCCCTTATGCCTCCCCCATATCTCCCCAGCTTGGCTGGTTCTGCCCCACAGGCCTTACAGGAACGGTTTGCTTCCTCCTCTCCCATCTCTGAACCTTCTCTTACCTGGTATAAATGCCCTTCTTCCTTTCTTTGACATGAGTTCTGGGACACTGTTACTTTTGACTGCCAAGTCACTCTATAACTCAAGAGTCTTGGATAGTTTCATTAAACAAACATTTATTAAGGCTCTTGTTTGAGCAAGGTGCTACATTCAGACATGAAAGGCATAATGCAAGTTCCAAGGAAGGCGCTGTTAAGGCAGGGCCTGGAGTGAGGACCATAGGTCTCTAGGATGACAGGCAGAGCTGCCCATGAACTGCCACATCAAGGAAACAGAGCTGGAAAGAAACTCTGAGATCTTCCAATAGTACAGTTCTCTCCCTTGAAAAATGAACCAACCACCTGAGGTCCAGGGAAGTAAAGATCCACTTGTCAGTGGTCCCTTAAAAGTGGGAAAGGTTTACCCACGTGCATATTCTACAATCTGATTTCCATGATGCCCTCCTTCTAGAGTCATGACACTGCAGGTTCTAGTCGTTCTTCCCAGCAAGCTTCCAAGTGAGTCTCTGGGAAATTCTTGTTCTGGAGCAGGAGAGATAATAGGAACCAACAAGGGACACCTGGAGGGAGAAATATTGTGTGGTCGGCCTGGACTCCCCATTAGGGACCACTGGCAAGACCTCAGCCCCTAGCACTCCAACCACAAAAGGAAGACTATTGACAGTGTATGCAAGGCAAGTTGCCCTCTCTAGTAAATGCACAGCTGCCAAAACCCACATCTCACATGAGCCTGCAGATCCAAAGCTCTTGGGCATCAGGTGGGACTGGGACTTTCTTCCTCATCTTTGAGGTCCCATGACTTCAGTGCATGTTTGTGGAAATGCTCCTTTCTTTACAATAGCTTACTGGTCAACTACCAGTAGGCCTGGCTGCTCTGTTACCTTAGCTTTCATCTTTGCCCCTCTGAGGGTGCCCTCT